AGAGCGCGAGATAGAGAGAGAGAGAGACAGAGAGAGATAGAGGGAGGGAGAGAGAGAGCCCCTGCGACGGCGCGGGTGCCGAAGAAACGTGCTCAACGACACGTCTGCTGCCATGACGTCACCTTGGGATGGCTAGGGATCACCTAGTCATCACCTAGTCAGCTATATTCTCTATTCTATTATTCCACAATGCAGCAGGCAGCGCGCGCGCGCGCACACACACACACACACACACACATACATACACGGGCTCACGGGGAGTGTTGTAGGTGCTAGCTAGGGGCGTGGCCACGCCGACGCAGCGATCCTTCCAGAAGTATTTCTGTCGTCAACATGTTTATGATGGCCGTACAGTAAGTAGTACATGCGTCGTCAGTCGCGGCTCACGAGAGTAGGGTTAGAGTGGGAGGGGTGGGGCGGGCGCACGTAAATGTAAGCTAAATGGGGCTTTAATAAAGCTTTAGTTTCAAATATCACACGCTCCACTTTACAATCGCGTTTTTTTTCTATCCCCACAGAATGCAACAACGCGTGTACATGTTCATGTGCGTGCGTGTGCGTGTGAGTATATGTGTGCGTGCGTACTTATATGTGCCAGACATGTTAAACTAGGTTACCATGACAGCCAGCAGCTCGTGGTTGTCAACAAGTCCAGCACCTACGATTGAAAATACTACGCTGTAAACAACAAGAGCTGATATGACCACAGTAAACCTCGAGACCTAGCCTTTAGAAATGCTACTTATTATTTCAGCTTAAGAGCGTCAACAACCGATAGGTCTTGCGCATGGCAGGAGCAGCGGCTGCTGGAAACAGTGCATGAACTTCTAGCATGGTCGTACATGGCCTTCATGTCATGCGTTCAAGTTCACTAATTTACGATTTTCGGTAGACTATTTATTTCTTGCTAGGCGCTTCATTGTACTTGCCCCATTGCTCAGGGTCATACTGGTTTTGTGTAAACAACAAGCTTTAGTATTGGGGGCATATACACCAAAATCAAAGAGTATAGTAAAGACACAGAAAGTAGTTAAAAATCAACAAAACATTTTGTCTTTATATTTTTTAAACGATTAATGATTAATCTCGTTACATTGCAAGTAATGCCCAGATTTTAGTATAGAGATTACAGTTTATTGTAACCACAATAAACATGAACCAGAATGAAGTGAGCTTCTACGAATCAGCATCAATAAGAGCAGCAACACATAAATAGCCATCATATTAATCTTAGATCGATGTTTTATGTATGGCAGGTGGACAATATTTGACGTTTCCGGAAAGTGTAAATCCACTGCCGGACTGGTAACAGCAGTAGGGTTACGTAACATTGACGCCACCACCCGCTTGATAACGCTCTATACGCATGAATTTTACACTTACACCGTGCTGCCATCTACCAACAGCAAAAGTTGTGAAGTAGCTACCACATTCCCACGGAAACCTATTACAGCCTTGCGAACTCACTACATTCAAGACCACGAAACCACTTGCCCAGGCATGTGCACAAGTTCGTAACCTGAGTAAAGTACTCGCAGCACGTGTATTGATGAAATGTTATTTATATACCGATAAAATGCCTTTCTGGCCAAAGCTATGACAGCTCAGAGGACGGACTCTGCAGCTTCTGCAATATGTGCTCGACTTGTGCGGACAGGACGGGCTGCCCTCTCTTTGTCTTCTTTCCTAGATGCTTCTGTCTTTCTATCTTTTTGGTTTTATAGTGCTTCAATGCTTCTTCTTTTTCTTTCTTCTGTCTGGCTGCATCCTATTGGGTGAAACAACAGATTCCACAGATCGTGAATGTGTTTCGGAAAATCGATTACATACAATGCTAGGATAATGGTTGAGGTAGATTCTGAGCTCAGGTTTGTTGAATTAAAGTTAACATAATAAAGCACAGGTAGATTAGTGCTAGTATAATGTTGGATTTTCAATAATTAAGCAATGCACACTCCTATATTTTTACTCACTCCTGATACTATGCATACATACATATTCATTCCAGTATACAGTTATACAGACATGTTAATGATTATAGTAACAATGAAACAATGAAATGATGGTGAGAATTCCTCACACCTAGAATGAAACAGAATAAAAATCTTAAGGAACCTCATACATCAGTGATTACCTCCTTTTTTTGCCTTTGCTCTTCAATCTTGTTCTCATACTCTACCATCGCTTTCTTGAAGGTCCCAAGTCTTTTCTCTTTCTTACTTCTGCCAAACCAAAATAGATTACATAGTGATACGTAAACTTCACATAACAATTTTACATAAGGATCACACAAGACCTTGAGGACTTAGATAAAAAAACAGAACTGAAATTTCCTCATATCATCATGCTAAGGAGCAATTACACAGCTGCACAATAACAATCCATTATAGTTTCAACACTCCAGGTTTCTATGTCTGAAATCTTCTCTTGCAACAACAAATGTTTAAGGTGCAACGGTGTTCAAGGTGAATAGTCACTATTAAAATGCTCTAGCCATAAGTGAAGAGCTTCACTCATGGTTCTCTGAAGAAGTGATGAGAATATACATGCTGTTCCACATTGGAAATATGAGATCATTGGAGCAAAAACTAGTTCCCGGATTCTTATATCAAGAAAATAAATACCATTATCTATTTAGGGGTAGTGGCAAAATAACGCCTCTACTTGTTGCCAATTTAGCGATAACAAATGCTAATTAGTAAGCGAGCGATGTGGAATTAGTAATTTGCATGATTTGCATAAGTTTTATTCATGACTGCACATGCCTGCCGTGATGAGATTGCCAATTGTATATCATGTATCACACATACCTTTTATAGGCACAGGGCAGTTATCCACACAGTGAGATGAATTCAAGGGCATTTCAACATTTATGTTACCCTTGACCAATAATGTAAAATAATTACATAATTATGATGCATGATTCACTATTAGTAGAAAGTTACTGAAATGTTAGTAATTAGTTACGTGTGGACTTCCTCCTGGGCAAGTTTTTCCATATCCTGCTTGGTGGCTCCTAATCGTAGTTCTGCTTGTTTCTGTTTTCGCAGCATCTTATGATATTGATTCATTACAGATTTTGTTTTCTTATCCTGTAGACTGTGCACTAGAAATTGGAAAACAATATTTCACATTGAAAGCTCTATAATGTTAGTAACAACTAACAATGATTAAAACCCTATATCCGTGCTGCTAGGTATTGTTGGATTTTATTCGAGTATAACACATTTAACAATCCGTATATCCGACTTAAACAACTACTGAACTAGTGAACTGTTCAACTACAGCGTGCAGCAGTGTGTACTGTAGCCCAATCACTGACCAGGCTGCGAGACTAAGATAAGAACGTAAATTATTATTATATTGTTACTAAATAGTTCACGACCAACGTATCAATATATGATCGTTTCTTGAAGCTAACCATAAACATGTTGACAATTATAATATATATACATGTTGATCATGATGATCATGTTGGCGGCTATGCATTCGCTGTACTAAATCAATTTACCTTGGCCAGGTTGGTTATATTTATTATGCATCTTCCTTACTCGGCCTTTTCCATAGTTAGTCGCCGAAGACAGATGGAATTGTGAATCTGACATATTACGATTCATGGCGAGTCACTGAGTGAGTATTTCACACACAAACGATAGGCCTACACCAGAGAATATAAATCACATCAGTTGATTTATATGCTCTGCCTACACCCTCAGCCTACACCAAGACCTATATAAACCTGTGTTGGTCTGTGGTAATACACACCAACGGTGTGATTACGTCACCGTAAATAGTAAAACATAAAAAAAATATTTCCACTTTTTCACAAAATATAACTAAGTAATTCTGTTCACTTTAATTTGCACGCACGCACGCTGTTTACTGTTCAATTTAAGTATTGCCTATTCTAGACTATTGGCCCAATGGCAACAATACTCAATGCTAATAGTAATAGTCAATTATCAATACTGCAATACTGACAATAGTCTGACTCTAGCATCCTGCCATCCGTTGTGATGGCTGATGCGATTACTGCAAACCAATGTTTTTACTTCGTTCGTGAAAGAAGGGAACTAGAAAATCGACTAAACGCTGTCATAGCCGCACAAACTTCTCATATTAGTCTATGATGGAATATTAATAACAGTAATATGGATAACGGGGTGATGATGCTGTCATGCTGGCTACGTGTGTATTTACGACGAAACAAGAGAACATGGGCGGATGCGGAAGACCCAACCAAAAACAAAATAAAGATGGCGAAATGAAGTAGCGTTAATTGGTGCATTGTAGAACTGTCATTTTCGTCGCCGTTTTGTTTTTATATACTAAATAATGGCCGAGAACTCGGATGAAGCGACACAAGAAAAGACGGTAGAGAGCACGGGTGAACCATCTGAATCGAACTGTGGTTTGTGCAAGCACTCGTTTCTTGATGCCAGTCGGGAGCCAAAATTGTTACCATGTTTGCACACATTCTGCAAGCCTTGCGTTTTGGTGGAAACTGCGGACAGTAAGTAGACCTACTACTACTAGTACTACTACTACTACTAGTACTAATACTGATACTGATAGTACTATATTTTTGAGCATAGCTAATTGTACGTTTAGATACATAGCAGTTGTATGAAATTAACCTGGTGCGACGTCTGTGCTACCTGATCCTCGACCCGAGGCTCTACGTCCTATTCTCTGAATTACGAGAAGAAACATTGGTTCAAGGATAGAGAACATGGGTCCCAATAAAACCAATGTCATTTACATCAATATAAATATAATATTATATCAATAAGACAATATAATAGGTTAGGTATATAGGTTCAGGGTTCTCCCCAGGATGAAATTCAAACAGGGGAGGGGAGGGCGGAACTAGGGGGTCGTGTTTTTACCGTACCACTAATTAATGCGTAAAAATCGCCACACACCATAGACGGTATTGGGGTTCTTTGTATATATAAGATACGCGAGTCGGTGTACAGTTAGTGTTGGGTGTGGGACAGGTTGACTGATTGTACTTGTGTATTGTCTGCAGTGCATGCGTGGTACTGTAAAAATACACGCGCCGGGTATCCTGGTCGAATTGTACTTCTTGACGATCGATTCCCGCGCTGGAAAACTTTTATTGTGGTGGAATTTAATCGGGGCGGAGGTATTTTAAACGGGGCGCAACGATTGAAACGGGGGAGTTTTCCCAAACGGGGCGCGCGCGCCCCGTTTGCGCAACGTAGGGAGAACCCTGAGGTTATAATACATTTCAAGCAATGCACAAAAACGCCCAATCTAGGCTGGATTTAGCCCGACCAGGCTGTGTGACTAACGTCAATATACACAGCCTGACATCCATCCATTGGATAATCTTGTACCTCTACAAAAACTGCCGAACAATTACATATATCTCAAATAAAATAATCATCTAAGCATTTCTGCCTTCTTTTGTATCAAGTTACAAGTATAACCTTCACCTTATAAATTAGGTTATAGTATTCCAGCGTTGTTATTAAAACTAATACCTCAGTTCGCTGTGCACAGTGTAAATTTCAAGAGCCGAACCTAAATTTCACTTTAACTGCCAACCGCAATGTTTCCACTGCGCATGCGTTTCGATCGGAACGCGGAAAACCCGAAACGACATAACATACCATACCATAGCGTTGCAACTCGCATTGGCGCGAGCATAAATAAGCATCATATACTCGTATATATAAAATATTAAAACATTGAACACCAGGAAACATCAATCTACAACAACTTCAGGGTTCTCCCCAGGATGAAATTTAAACAGGGGGGAGGGGAAGGGAAGGGGGGGGGAAACTAGGGGGCGTGTTTTTTTACCGTACCACTAATTAATGCGTAAAATCGCCACCACACCATAGACGGTATATGGGGTTCTTGTATATATAAGATAGCCGAGTCGGTGTACAGTTCGTGTTGGGTGTGGGACAGGTTGACTGTTTGTACTTGTGTATTGTCTGCAGTGCATGCATGGTACTGTCAAAATACACGCGCCGGGTGTCCTGGTGGAATGATACTTCTTGACGATTGATTCCCGCGCTGGCAAACTTTTATTGTGGTGGAATTTAATCGGGGCGGAGGTAATTTAAACGGGGCGCAACGATTGAAACAGGGGGGAGTTTTCCCAAACGGGGCGCGCGCGCGCCCCGTTTGCGCAACGTAGGGAGAACCCTGAACTTAATAATTATCATTGCGAAGATATGTACTTGCCTTGTGTTTAGGCCTACGCACTGTGAAAATCAGGTCCATTGCCTATTTTAGTCGCACGGAACATGGCGGCTGTGTAATTGTTTTCATCCAATTCATCTCAGAAAATACGGCATAACTCGATAAATAAGTAGCGCCCAGTTACCGCGAGCAAGCCAGAGGTTTATAGATTCGTTTGACCTATTACATGTGACGCTAGCTGTGGCGATGTTTGGATACCGAGCCAACTACAAGTTTTTATTGGCAAGAATTTGAAACGGTTTTCTAAATTCTAACCCTAGCAAAGACCGTTTCTTGGAGCTAGGCTGGATTAAGTGGCCCCATTGTGTATTCACCTCCTTAACCTTTTGGACTGTTTCTTCGACATTGAGCACTGAACAATCGCAACCAACCTCTTTTTCCTCTTTCACCCTCTTCAGATTTTTCTTTGCAGGAAGACAACACCCAACTTCCCATTAAATGTTAATATGATGATAATTATAATTAACAGGGTTTCTCCACAGTTACTTAGTTGATAAATGTCCTTCATGATTGGACTGTATGTCTGGGATGCTGTGTTTCTGGACTTCAGCAAGGGTTTTAACAAGGTCCCCCATGGCCTGATCACAAACTCATTGATATGGCAAATCCATGAAAAATTCTAATTTGAAATGTAGCAGGGATCGAATTTGACGACGGCAACTGACGCATTTGCCGCCGGAACATATTGATTTGCCGTCAGAGGTAGTATGTATCGGTGGCAAGTAAATGCCGTCGTACAAGTACAAACAGTCACCCTATCCCTATCTCTAACCCTAACCCTAACACTAACTCTAAACCGACTCGGCTTTTTAATATACGCGTGTCAGAGTACCAATCTATGGTATATAACCTTTCGTAGTGATGCGCAACAATGCTCGGGCGAATAACGCCACCGAACTATAGTATCCACGTATATATATATATATCGTGGATATTCGTCCGAGCATCGGATACTTATATACACAAAATATACACACAAGTACAAACAGTCACACTATCCCACGGAATAGTAATAATCACCACGGTTCAGTGTGATTTTACTACTAGTATTTTGTATATATACATTGAAAACATGAAGAATATATATATTCTTCATGTTTTCAATGTTTGTCGATTACTAATTGTCACTGTGCAATTTAAATCAGAAACCTGTGTATGCTGCTGAGTCAGTCCCCACTACTGTGCAATTTAAATCATATTTCTATGACAGATAGTCTTCAATTGTTACATTAAATAACCTATACCCTAACAATGTGTCTCACTGCTGCTCTGTGTCTGGACTTTTTGTATTTTATTACATATAAATATTTTAAATTGACAAAAACTTTAATATTAATTGTACCATCTTGGTTTTTAGCTCATCTGACATAGTCAGATGCAGCTTGTAGAATCGCATGATCGTCCGTGCGTCCGTCCGTGCGTCCGTCCG